GGTTTAGGCTGTAGGGCTTAGGGTCTAAACCCTAAACCCTGAACCCTAAGCCCTGTAAAGCAGAGTCTTTAGGGATTCGGGTTTAGGGTTTAGGGTTTATGAACCCAAAGCCCTATACAGCTGAGCTGCTGAAGCATGGCCGATGCCAGGAGAGCGGACTGACGCTGCCGGAGAGAGCAAGCGAGGGCCTTCTCTGTCTCAGGGTGGGTTTCTTTGGGGGTTTGTGTTTTTTTTTTAGGCTTTTTAGGGTTTTGGGGCTTTAGGCTTTTATGGTTTTGGGGTTTTAAGGTTTCAGGGTTTAGGGCCTTTAGGGTTTAGGGCTTGGGGCTTCGGGCCTTTGGGATTTAGGGTTTAGGGACATGAGGGTTTTCGGGTGTAGGGTTTAGGGTTTAGGGTCTTAGGGTTTTAGGGTTTTAAGGTTTAGGGCTTAGGGCCTTTAGGATTTCGGGTTGAGGGTTGTAGGATTTAGGATCTTAGGGGCTTTATTTCGGGGTTTAGGGTTGGGGTTCAGGGTCTAGGGGTTGGGGTTTTCGGCTTTAAATGAGGCTTTCGGGCCTTTAGGGTTTAGGGATTCGGGACCAGGGGCCTTAAGATGTAGGGTGGCTTCTGGTGTGTTTGAAGAAGGTTGCACAACATGGGCCCAGTTGTGACCTTAAGGGGGGTCCATAGTTTTTTGCGGTGTAGGTTCTAAACCCCAGACCTAAATGGGTGGTTCTCCAAATTTAGGGTAACGCTTAGCGTGCTTTTTTTAGGAGGCTGCCGTACTATTTTGGGGACGTACCCAAAGATGGCCCTAATTGAGAGAACTACCCAACTTCTGACCCCGAAACCTTAAACCGTGATCCCTAGTGCTTGACATACCCAGACCAGGGAGTCCCAGTTAAACCAGCCCGTCATCGATGAAGCTTGAGTTTAATACACCTCCACTAGGGTTTAGGGTTTGGGGTTTGGGGTTTTGGGTTTTGGGTTTAGGGATTAGGGTTGTAAATGCTGCGTTGGCACCTTACTTGAATACTCCTGACATCCCTATGTCAGAGAACAGCGTCCGACTGACACCGCTAAACTGCAAACCCCCCGCCCAGACCCTAAACAAAAAAACAACGGTGTTCAGCAAATAAGACCATCTTAAGCCCAATAAGAGAAAATATGAGATGTCCCAAAGGCCTACTTAATGAAGAATCAAGCTGGAGTCATGGCCTGGGGCTTTCGAAGCCCAGAAATTCGGGTTTAGGGTTTTGGGGTTGAGGAACCTCAATTCATGCCTTGCAACACTCTATTTTCCGAAATCCTAAACCCTAAACCCTAAACCCCTATATCCGAAATCTTAAACCCTAAACCCTAAACCCCTATACCCGAAATCCTAAGCTCTTAAACCGTCCAACCTCTAAACCTAGCGTGTTGGGATCGACAGACTCGTAGTGTGAAACCGAAACTGTGGAGTATAGGGGTTTAGGGCTTAGGGGCAGAGGACTCTGCGAACGCTTCTATAGATTCTATGGAGCTTCGAAGCCGCGCGTTCTTGGGGCGGAACGTCCTTCAATCCTCCCTTGCTAAGGGTTCTTGATACGGTCGCTTTGACGGGCCGCAGCTTCTTCTACCAGATTCCCTAGTAACCCCTTGGTAGAGACCCCAAAACCAAAAAAGGCAAACGGGTACTACTGGGAGACCTAGCATAAAGGCTGTCTGGAATGTGGAGGTTTGGGGTTTTTGTGGTTTTGGAAGAGACAGGATACTCAGGACAAAATTGTGCTCACTACCACATCAGAGCTTAGGTAAGTATAATTGGGGAGGACGTATGCTTGAGTTAGACGTCATGTCTCATTTGGTTTTAGGTATGCTCGATGTATTCTAGATTCTGGTTTAGGGTAGCAGGGAGCGACCTGATTATGTCTGAATAAAGCCTCGTCTTCACAGATATCCAGGACCCACGCCGCCAAGCCCAAATCCTGAGCAGCTACAACCTTCAACCCTAAACCCCTTAAGCGCTAAACCCCCCCCCCCCAACCTCCTAAGAACCGCAAACCCCTCTAGAAAGGCCCGAAAAGCCCCCATGTTTCTAGGTCGCATGTAACCCCTATAAAGACCCGAGAAGCTCCCATTTTTCTAGGTCGCCATGTGGAGCAGGTCAAGGTCAAACGTCCAGTTGGGGTGCAAGTTTTGCACCGGATCTTCCCTGGGTGAGACCGGTCCCCCTGAGCTGCTCCTGGGCCTTTTTGGGGTTTAGGGTTCAGGGTTTGGGGTTTGGGGTTTAGGGTTTAGGGCTTAGGGCCTTATCTTAGAAATCACACGGTCTATTCTACTGCACTGGCTTGTTTACGTTTTTTCAGGAACAGCCGGGTCTCAGCAGGGGGGCTAAGTCGGGCTGAATTTCTGGACCTTGGAGGTCCTTTATCCTCGCAACCGAAAAGACCTACCTTTTTAGGGTTCCTTATTATGGTTTCTATGTTCCTTAAAAAGGTAGGTCTTTTCGGTTACAGGTAGGGTTAGCACAATCACACCAACGGTTTAGGGTTTCGGGCTTAGGGTTTAGGACAAGAAGTGGCACTGACACTCATCGCGAGAAGTGTTGCGCTGAACTCACCAGCACTGGTGGAATTAGCACTTCACATAGGCAAGGTACGAGGAACGACAAACAATAGCAACACTCAGCTGATCTATGACAGTGGTGGTGATGGTACCCAAAACCCTAAACCCAAAACCCTAAACCCTAAACCGTGGTGGAGGTGGTGGCGGTGGTGGGGGTGGTGGCCCTAAACCCTAAACCCTAAAGTGGGGGTGGAGAAGGTGGCGGGGGGGGTGGTGTACCTACACTAGACCCAAGAGAAACCCTAGGAATAAAAAGGGTGCTCTTTTTGGCTTAAAGGACTTTATAAGGGAACCTTTTTAGGGAAGAAGGGGCCTACTCTGGACTTTATAAGGGAACCGGAACCCCAAAAACCGGGAAAAAGGGGCCTACTCTGGGTCCTAGTACATCTTCACCTTGGGACTTCGGAGCTGGAGCCTCTTTGGAGTTGAAGCAAAGCCTGTGACCTCTGAAGAAGCCGCGGATCCCCCAAACCCTAAAGCCTAAACCCCAAACCCTAAATCCTAAATCCTAAACCCTAAATCCTACATCCTAGACCCTAAACCCTAAATCCTAAATCCTAAACCCTAACCCCTAAAATCTTGAGTTTGCCATTGAGATTCACTTGAGGCTTCTGGGACGGACAAGCTTGCATTGACAGGGGAAGCTGACAAAGGTGGCGTGCTTGAACTGCCTTGTGTAGGTGCCTTAAGAATTAGAACCGGGTTTGGGGGTATATTATACTATATAGCTGTAATAAGGAACCCCCGACAAAATAATATAGTTATGCTATACCCCCAAAAAAATATAGGTACTTATTAAGGCCGCTATATTACTCCCTTGAAACTTGAGACCGTGCCCGGCGAAGCTCCCCTGGTCTTGGATGAATGCATGCGATTTCCATTCACGGGTGAGACGTAGCAAGCCTCCAAGGGAATCGGAACATGCAAAACGTGGTGCTGGTGGGGGGGCACCTGGAAAGTTCTCGATCGACATATACACGAAAAGTGCCCCAAGAATGCTAGAACTCATGCACTCGTCTGCATTCCTTCGAAGCTCGTAGAGGGATGTGGTCTTCAACGGAACAGTCTCTTGTTCCAGTGAAACCCACCTGGACTGGACCTGGCGGCGCAAGCGGCAATCAGAACTGCTCGTTAAGTCTAACATGCATTCACGCAAGTCTCTTGCATCACAAACCCTAAATCCTAGACCCTAAACCCTGAAAGCCACAATTTTCCAAAGTCACAAATCAAAATTGTAGCTGACCCGGAGCAGAAGGTGCAAAAAGGCACGAGGACATTTTCGAAAGTACGCTCCCGCTTGAGGATCAGCACTATACCTGTGCTACATGGGTAGGACTCTAAATTAGGGTCCCTTTTAGGGTCCTTTGTATAAGGGTACCGACAATTTGGGGACCTAAATGAGTGGGGACCTATATTTAGAAAACTACCCACATACTACTCAATATTGTCACATGTTCACCAGATCTGCGACAGCAAACCTTTCGAGATAAGACTAGACGCGCCTCGGCCCTGTGTGCTTGACTCAATTAATCGACTAGCAGCACATTCTACCAGCAGCACTTGAAATCTTGCATGGCGACAACTGCAAAAACATGTCCGAAATTTGATGCTGGCTGAGGAGACTTGGGGTACAGGGATTGTGGATTGAGGGTTTACGGTGTTGGATTAGAGGGCTTTGGGTTTAGGACTTAGGGGTTTAGGGCTTCGGGTTTAGTGGTTTAGGGGTTTAGGGGTATACAGTTTTGGGGGTTTAGGGCTTTAGGGGTTTAGGGTTTGGCTTTAGGGGTTTAGGGGTTGAGGGGTTTAGGGTTTGGTTCCGGATTTAGGGACTTGGATTTTTTGCCGAGCTCTGCCTCATCACTCGGCCTCTTCCTCATCCACCTCGCCCTGCCGTAGAGCGCTGTGCTGGTCGTGTAGAGCGTGTACAGTCTTAAGGGGGGCTCGGTGATTCGTGTAAGTTTCGCTAACAATGAGCATAAGGATACATGAAAATATTTCTCGTAATCGTTATTGTTAATAGTAATAATACTAATATGTAATAATGGTGGTTTCCTTGCCAATAGCATGTTTGGCATCGGTCTTCTCATAAGCACTGCTAGTGCTATCTTGGCTGTAAGTAAGAACACGATCATGATGCTCCGGCAAAGTCAAGCTCCCTGCACACGGACCAGACGCGACGACACGAAGAGAAGAGGATGGGAAAGGATGGAGGGATGGAAGGAGGGAGGGAGAGTGAGAGAGCGGGAGAGGGAGGGAGAGGGCGAGAGGGAAAGGGAGAGAAAGAGAGAGAGAGAGAGAGAGAGAGTGAGAGAGAGAGAGACAGAGAGAGAGAGCGAGAGCCCTGAGCCCTAAACCCCAAACCTCAAACCCTATCCGTTCACCGCTGGGCCTTGTCACTCTCGGCCTCGTCCTGTGGCTTCGCTGCATGGGAGAGAAAAAGGTTAAAGCTAAAGACGCTCAGTTTAGGATGTGGCGTTCAGTGTTTAGGGTTTAGGACGTAGGGTGTAGGGTTTGCGGTGTAGGGTTTAGGGTGTGCAGTTGAGGGCTTACGGTTTACGGCTTAGTGAGTGAGTGAGTTCAGGGCTTAGGGCCTAAGGCTTCGAGTTAGTGTTTCGGGGTTCGGGTTTAGGGCTTAAACTCATCACAAAGGAACGAAAGCCTGAAACCCGAAACCCCAAAATCAAAACAGACCTTGGACCCCAAATCGAAGCAGCCTGCTTAAAGCCCCACGCCCATGATCCTAAACTCTAAACCTTCAACCAAGAACCCCTAATTCCAAGATTGGAAGCCTGAACCCTAAACCCTAAACCCCTAAACCCTAAAACCCTAAGCCCTAAGACCCTAAACCCTACACCCCTAAACCCTAGAATATTTCAAGGCTGTCCTGGATGGGGTTGGGCTCATCGTGCTCTTCGAAGTCGGTAGGCTCATCCATGATGTCGTCGGGCCTTGGCCCATAAATGAAGGGTTTTTTTAGGGCTGGGATTGTGTAGGGCTTAGGGTTTCAGGGTTTAGGGCCCCAAAACCCTAAACCCTAAACCCCTAAACCCCTAAAGCCCTAAACTCCTAAACCCCTAAACCCTAAGCCCTACATTTAGGAGTTGGGGTTTAGGGGTTTCGGGATTCCGGGTTTAGGGTTTAGAGCCTATAAGCTCTAAACCCTAAGCAAGGGTCGAGGGCTTTGTTGGGGGGCGTTTACGTTTCGGGTTTGGAGGGAGACTTCTTGGTATTTCTGGCTTCGGGTTTAGCTCTCTGGGTTTAAGCCCCCCTCTGGGGGTCCCTCATAAGGCTCCTGTAAGGGTTTCCTTTGAGGCTTCTTTTAGGGGTTCCTTTGTGGGAGTTCCTTTACGGGTTCCTGCAGGGGTTCCGGACCAGACTGCAGCTTCGGAGCCATTTCTCAAGCGACTTTCGAACCATAGCAAAAAAACTATCTTCAAATCACCCCCTTGAGTTTTGTAAGAAACCAGCTGGTAGCAAGATCTAGCTATCTAGCTTTGGGGGGCTTTAAGGTTTAGGGCTTAGGGTAGCAAAATTCTGCAAAACCAAGGCCCTTCAGCCTGTTTCAAGCCCCATAAAGAGCCCGAAAGCTGGGTGCCCCTGCGCCAGTGGCATCAATGGGTTCGTGCCACGAAGGGGAAGCCCTGTTTCCTGTGGCCGCTGCTAAAACCAGGTTCCGGGTTTAGGGTTTAGGGTTTAAGGGAAAAAGGGTGTAGGGTTTAGGGTTTAAGGGATATTGGGTGTAGGGTTTAGGGTTTAAGGGATATAGGGTTCAGGGTATAGGGTTTAGGGGCCAAGGGAGCAGGATCAAGGTCTAAAGATTCTTGAAGCTTATGCTGTGAGTTCTTTGTGTGGGTCGGGGAACTAGCCCTGGATTGCATGGTCTAGGCTTCGGTTTGGCCCAGGGCCTGGAGGTTCGGACTTGAAAGCTACTGAATTCACATCCGAAGACGAGGACACTTGAAATTCCGCGAGATCTGTGGCTCAATCAACGGCTCAACGGTGCCACCAAGCAATTCCATACGACAATTTTATGTGCCTCCTGCCAGCCTAAGATCCGGTACAGAATGGAAGCCACCGTCACACCACCACCCTAAACCTGGTTCCCTGTTGGGGCCATATTAACAATGATCATAATTTCAATCCTTATCAAGGTTTTGTTATAACAAAAATGTAAAAATTGTATCCAGCAAGGACCCAGGAGCCCTGAACCGACTCCCGCAACCCCCAACCTGCTGCTTTTGTCATCGCATAAAAAAACGACCCATGCAACTTTAAAAAGCGCTGTCGTCATCATCGTCTGTTGCATTGCGTGCTACTGCTACCAATGTTTTCTGTATCGTGCCCTGAGCTTCGATCCTAATCGACCTTTTCCAGGTCCCAATGCAGCAACTGCTGTCTGTCTGGCTGTTGTAATCAGCTTGGTCTCGCAATGCTGTTGATGATATAAATCCTGCATGACCTTAAAGGGCCCTAAACTATGGGAATTATGGTATATTCCTTATTCTGGGTAATGCAGGATTTGTATCATCCACCGTAGCCTGCAAGGCCATCACTTGTCGTGACGGTCGTGCAACTTACGCGTAGAGAAGCTTCTCTCACTCGAAGTCTCTGTGCGCCCCTTCCCCAAATGTCTAGGGGTTTAGGGTTTAGTGGTTTAGGGTTTAGGGTTTAGGGTTTAGGAGTCGTGTCTCTGCAATGTGCCACTCTTTCTCTGCAGTCGTTGCATGTTGCACATTCCATGAGAGACTTTGGCCTTTCTGACGTTGCGAAAGAGCTTCTCCAATGCTTCGCTTACACCTCTGTGCAGTACCTAGAAACTCCGGCATACCCTAAACCCTAACCCCCAACCCCTAAACCCTAAACCCCAAAGCTCCACACCCTAAACCCTAAACCCTAAACCCTCAACCCCCTTAGGTTTATTTTACAGCCAAAACTCTTCAAAACTTAACTCGGAAGGATCCCAGGAGACCCCTAACCCGTAAAATCCGAACCCCCAAGCAAGAACCCCCCCAACCCCCAACCCCCCTGAACTCGACTGCAAAATCCCAAACCCGAAAGCTAAATTGAAAGACCTCAACCCTAAACTCACCAAGCCCTAAAGCCCCTAAACCCTCAACCCTAAACCCTTCAAGCCCTAAACTTCCAAACCCTATGAACCCTAAACCCTCAACCCTGTGAGTCTCCGGAAGAGCCTCAAAGACCCTAAGACCCCTAAGATTAGGGTTTAGGGCTTAGGGTTTAGGGCCCTAAACCCTAAACCCTAAACCCTAAGAAGTTTAGGGTTTAGGGCCCTAAACCCTAAACCCTAAACCTTACACCCTAAATCCTCAACCCTAAACCCTAAACCCCCTAAGAAGCTTAGGGCTTTGGGGGTTTAGGGTTCTTACGGGCACCGCCTTGTCGGGTCCAACCATGGTGCCGCATTTCATCGCCGAGCCGACCTCGCCGGTTTTTTGGGCCAAAAGAGGGATTACGACGGTTTAGGGGTTTAGGGGTTTAGGGGTTTAGGGGTTTAGGGTTTAGGGTTTGGGTTTAGGGTTTAGGGCTTAGGGTTTAAAGTTTAGAGGGAAGCAAAGGATTCGAAGAGACTCCGAAACGGGTTTTCGGGGTTAGGGAGTTTAGGGTTTAGGGTGTTGGGGACTTAGGGCTTTGGGGATGTAGGGTTTAGGGCTTAAGGTTTAGGGTTTAGGGGTGTAGGGCAATGATTTAGTTTAGGGCTTGCGGTTTAAGGTCTAGGGTGCAGGATTCGAAGAGACTCCGAAAGGAATCGGGGTGTACGGGACTTAGGGCTTTGGGGATTTAAGGGTTTAGGGTTTAGGGTTTAAGGTTTAGGGTTAAGGCTGTAGGGGATTTAGGGCTTTGGGGATGTAGGGTTTACGGCTGCAGGGCTTACGGACTGCAACTCTAGAAGTCAGCGCACTTCTGAAAGCATGTTGTTCAGTCAAGGGGATTGCGATAATTTCGTGGCTCTCAATCATTCGGATAGAGTGTTTGGGTTTACCATCGTCTAAATACGTTGCGGAACCCTACGGAATGATATTGCTAGATATGGCTAATCATCCAGACCCCTACATTGCTGGGAGGACAGACCCGGAAACCAACGAAAACTGCAAAATCCTGAATGAGCGAATATACCTTAAAGCACAGCGGGATTCTTCATATGACGCAACGTACGTTCCTCAATATCGGGGTTTGGGAGTTTGGGGAATTTCATTAAAAAAAAAAAAGCACAACAGTGGGGAAGTCAGCACATGCAAAAAGTTACTAAAGGCTACGGATGTACTCGTCAAGCGAATCGGAATTGGTGTACTTCCTCGATTCTCAACCAGTGAGGGTTTAGGGTTTAGGGTCCTCTGTGACCCCGAACTGCCACGCAAAGCCAGGGGGGAAGGGCTTCATCCAAGCGGCATAGAGGTTCGCATACTTGGATCCTTTGACCACGGTAATTGCACCTGTGCGTCAGCAGATGCTCTTCTGTCACTGTCGGATGCCATGAAAGGCCAAACTTCAATTACAGAATCCTTGACATCAGTGCCGCAAGTGCCCCCTAATGCAACGGTACGCACAAGCTCCACGAAACTCGCAAACCCTTCAAGGAACAGTGGATGCAAAATATGCGGATGTTGGACGCAACCAAGACATCAAGAAGCCATCCCTCAACCCTGGCCCTCATCCTGCAAAGTAGGCCTCTTCCGCAACCTGATAACCCATAAAACAAAGTGACAGCCAGCGTCGTAGTCTTGGCAGCATTTGCCGTCACCGTCGTCACAGTTGCGGTTGTAGTAGTAGCTGTCGTCGTCGTGGTCGCGTCGTCGGTTCCATTCAAGGCACATCTGTTAGTGGACCTTGAGCAGCATACATATGCGTGCCGCGCTGTGCGTCGCCAATCCAAAACGCTGAATCCTAAACTCACATCAGCTGGAACATACAAGCGCCATGGTAAACCCGACAGAAACTCCAAAGCAATGTTGGAGCTCCTTGTTCTGACGTCCTGCATTGCCGCCCCTAAAATCATAGGGGTTTTGGGAGCTTAAGGAAGACCTTGACGACATCTTTCATAGTTCATAACCTCTTGTAACACTGGGGCGGCTATATGCCCAAAGCCCCGATGACACTTCATAGTAACGCTTATAGTAACCCATACAGTAACCTGTCATACCCCTAAACACCAAACCCTAAACCCTAAACCCTAAACCCTAAACCTCTTTCTCAAAAGAGTCCAATCCCCGACTCTGCACCTGGCCAAATCAGGGACCGCAGGGCAGTGACTCGCAGGGACTTCGTGCCGTCCCCTGCTGTGTACACCTCGTTTGGATCAAGGAACGGGGGCCGCAGAATCTGCTAGGAGTTGTCTGTTGTGAGGGGGGTTCTTACGTTAAGGATCCTACTAACTTAAGCTGCCCCAGCTTCTGAAACCAAGTGCCCTGATGCCTTGACAACCCAAACCCTTTGGAATGCAGAGCCAACCCCAGACCCTATACCCTATCTAAATCCTAAATCCTAAAATCCTTGACCCTAAACCCTGGACCCTAGACCCTAAACCCGAAGCAGAAAGACCCTCGGTGAGTTTCATTGCTCCAGAATTAAGTTGCAGTCTTCGGCTCCCTAACTTCATGGATTGACGTTTTTGGGCTTGGCTTAACTTGGGATCCAGCTCACCGGGACCGTTTATTTCAACACCTTTGCCTGCGTTCAGTCATTTACTGTCCAAGCCCCTACAACCCAAAGTACATCCTAAACCCCAGTTCATGGGAGCTAGGATTCAGGGGACCCTTGGGGATATAGACCCTCTCAAGAAGGTCCCTCTTAAGAGAGCCATAAGTAGGGTCAAGAAGGGTCCCCTTTAAGGGGTCTGTCTCCCTAATCCCTAAACCCTAAACCTTAAACCCTAAACCCTAAACCCTACCCTAAACCCCTTTAAGGGGTCTCCCTAATTCCACCGAGGAGTTCAGCGAGAGCAGGCGGGCTGGGGGTTTCGAGGGCTTAGGGCCTTTTTGGAGTTCAGGTCGAGGGCTCAAGGATGCGGAAATTCCGCAAATCTGTGATGATGAGCGTGGGGTTGAGGGTTTAGGGTTTAGGGTTTAGAGTTTAGGGTTTAGAGTTTAGGGCTTAGGGTTTAGGGCTTAGGTTTTTTTTTGTTTAAGGGCCCTTGGCCGGCTTGTTGAGCTCATCGTCTGTTTTCGTCACCTTCACAGGCTCAACGGCTTCAGCCTTGACGTTGCGACTCTTCACGGCAGGGGCTGGGGCAGCACCGTTGTGCTTTACTTTGTTGACCACTGTGCCAGCGACGTCAGACCCGTCTGCCTGGGCAGCTTTCTGCGGCGGGGTCGTCACTGGCGCCTTCACCACATGCGGGCTTGCGTTGAGGGCAGCCCCAGCTTGCGACCCATAGTCTGTGCCACTGGCCTGGCTTGCCGCGTCAGAGAAGCACAACACCACCGCCAGCAGGAGTAGGCGATCCATTGCAGAATGAAAGTGCCGATCGTTTATTTCGTCAACAGCCCAAGGTTTAGGGAGCAGGGAAAGCGGGTCTGTGGAGTTCCTCGAACTCTTGGGCGCACAACGAGCTGCAGAGTCTTGGAGCCCTGAGCCACTTTACCCATAGGCTCTTAAGTAGTTCCTTTTTGTGGTTTATGTTTAGAATCCTAGAAGGTAATCCCAAAAAGGAACTACTAAGGAGCCCTGAGCCACTTTGTGATAAGCCTAAACCCGAGAGAGCGACAAGAGAAACACACGCATCAGCCTTTGTCGGATTGAAATCTTGGGGAATTACGGTGTGGCGCTTAAGGGTTTAGGGTTCAAGGCCTTTGTTTTGGGGAGACAGCCTTCTTGCGCTTCCTTACGGGATCCGGGACTTAGTAAGTAGGTTAAGTGAGGCTCTTGGGATGGTACTTTGTACTCCAGCTATACCCGGCTTTGTTGCAGCCATTGAGCCGTTAGGCATGGCTAATGGCTTCAGAATCTACAGACCGAGTTGCCACCGAATACAGCTTCCCCTCTACGTATCTTCCCTGCCCGCAGCACGACTTTTCTGCACCCTAAACCCTAAACCCTAAACCCGAAACCCGAAACCTTAAAACACTAAACCCTAAAAACCCCAAACCCTAAATCCTAAATCCTAAACCCTAAAACCCTAAGTACACCTAAGCCCTAAAACCTAAAACCCTAAACCCTGGCGAACCACGAGTAAGAGCCCAGGATGAAGGCTTCCAGGGGTTTGACACGGACTGGATTTCTGGCTCTAGGCAAACGAGGGCAGAGCTGAAGCTAGGGCTCAGGGCTCAGAGTTTAGGGTTCAGGGTTTAGGGTTTAGGGTTTAGGGCTAGGGTTTGAGAATGATCTTGAAGTAGTAGTAGTAGTAGTAGTAGTAGTAGTAGTATCTACATAGGGGGTTCAGGTTTTCCCGGCTTCCCTACCCCAAAGATTAAATCTCAGAGCTTGAACCCCAAACCCTAAATGCTACACATAGCCCAAACCCTAAACCTGCTTCCTACGGGCGCATATAAGCACCTGAACAAAAGCCCATGAGGTTGGGATAGTTTGAACGCAACCGTACACCTTGAACCCCTAACCCTAAAGCTTCGACCCCAATCTTTAAACCCTAAACCCTTAAACCCAACTTAACCCTAAACCCGAGACCCTAAACCCTAGACCCTAGACCCTAAACCCATACCCTCGACTCAACTTGGGATACGGTTGGCTCTGCGCCCCGGTCTGGGCTCCTGACTCCCTCGTCGCCGTACCTCTTGACACCTCGGTTTCGAGACTTTTCAAAGCACGCACTCTCCGCGAGCTTAGTTACAGGGTTCAGGGCCCTTTTCAGGAGCTTAGAGTTTAGGGTTTACGGTTTAGGGCATCCTAAACCCCAAGCCCTCAACTCCCATGTAGCCCAACTCCCTCATGAACCCGAAGCTCCCTAGATCAGGAATTCGAAGCTGCACCCCCCCAAAGATTCGGGTTTAGGGTTCAGGGTTTGGATTGTACGGCTGAGGGTGCAGGGTTTTTGTTTTAAGTGTGCTGGAGACTCCTGCCTACACAGGCACACACTACGTGAAACTCGTGAGACGAACCATCCACATAGACATAGACACCCGGCTTGAACTTGTTGATATCCTCCCATCCACCCGCAGGGTTTAGGGTGTAGGGTTTAGGGTGGAGGATGTATGGTTTAGGGCGTAGGGTGGAGGCTACTCTGCACCGACTCGACTTCAGGTTGCTTTTTACGTGTTGAGGGCTCATCGACATTGTTGAAGGGTCGAAACGCACGGCCCCTCAACTGGCAAACACGAGGCCCAAAGGAATTCGGGCTTTGAAGCGTCGAAGCTGACTAGCATCTCTGTCCTGAAAGATACCCCCAGCAACTCGAAAGCCGAAAGCCGCTAGGCCTGCAGTGTAAGGTGCCTAGGCTTGGAGGCCCTAAACCCCCAAACCTCGCAAACGACTTGCAAAAAAGTCGAGAAGAGCTTGATGAAGCTTCAAGTGCGGACAAGGGCACGCTTTCGCAAAAGGAGCCATCTTAATCCCAAAAAACACAGTGACGGACCATTGACATTACCTCGTACACAATGCGCTAACCTCGATCATGCCACATGAATGAACTCGCAGCAACTCCCAAACACAGCACGACACGCTGCGCAAACCCTGCTGTAAAGCCGTTAATCCCACTCACTGTAGCCTGCACCAAACGACCCAGCGGCTCAACAAACCTCGATAGTGTTGACGACGACCATAATAAGAATGTCAACCAACCGTGCAGCAACAGTAATATAATGAAAGTCGTATTCGTACTCGTACTCATACACGTGCACTGATTTCTGCTGCCGCGAAGAACTATGGCAGTCAGTACGGTGCAACAGCAAACTCCTAAGAGTCATGATGACAGCCTGCCCTGATGAAAGTCATCACGCCGCAAGAACGCTACGACCTCCAGCCAAGGACTTCTTGCGGTCATGAGCCGACAGACTTAAAAGTCCAAAACAAACCACCTAAACCCTGAACCCCAGCCCTTCCCCAGAATAAGAAACACGGAAACACACGCCACAAACCAGATGTCAAACTTCTCCTGGTACTAGTAAGATCCCTAAACACCCAATCCCCAAACCCTTCCAAATCCAAGCCATACGCAAATCCCCAACCCTAGACGGTGAAAAGAACACCCAAATGCCCAAAAAGCAGACCAAAAACCCCAGACTAGTTAAACCGCTTAACACCCAAAAGATTCTAAACCTAAACCCTAAGCCCTCAACCCAAAAGCCAGAACACCGTAGAAATCCTAAACCCTACAAAAGACACCCTAAACCCCATTCCCTAAATCTGCAAGGAAACCCCAAACCCTAAACCTGTAAACCCCTAAACGGCCCTCGACCGCTAAATCCTGAACCCTCAACCCCTAAAAGCCCTAGACCCCCTAAACCCTAAACCAACAACCCTAAACCCCTAAACCCTAAACCCCAAAACTCTAAACCCCAAAAGCCGCAAACAACCCTAAATCCCTAAACCCTAAACCCTCTTACGGGCTCCTTTAAAGGGTTCCTCTCCTTGCAACGCTGGCGGCTCCACGCCGGAGATCCCTCGGCGTCTTCGGGCTTCAGCTCCTGGGGAGGCCGTTTGTTTAATCAAGCTTTAGGGGTTCGGGTTTAGGGTTTGGGGCTTTGGGGTTTAGGGTTGAGGGTTAGGGGGTTTAGGGTT